CATCAGTCTTCTAGGCTTTCTTCATTTAAAAAAATTCTTTTTAAAAAAAATCTGATTTGGTTGATTAAAAAATATCTGTCTTCAAGTTCAGAAATTCTTCTGTTTGTTCTAGTTTGTTGTGGAAGCTTTCAGTTATATTTTTATATCATTGGTTGAAGTTTTTGTTCTAGTCTTTTGATTGGTTCTTTCTAATGATTTCTCTCTCTCTGATGAAGTTCTCACTTGCATCCTGGATAGTTTAATTTCTTTATATTGTTTATCTGTATTCTCCTGCATCTCACTGAGTAACTTTAGAATCATTATTTTAAATTTGTCCTAGGCATTTTCTAGATTTCCTTCAAATTGAGGTCTATTTCTGGGGAAGTATTATTTTATTTTGCAGGTTTTATTTTTTCCCTAAGTTTGTGTCCTTGTCTTGATGTTTGCAACTTGATGTTCCCCTCTTCCAATTTTATGAAGTAGGTTTTTGTAAGAAAACATTTTTTCCTTTAGCTAGGATATAGGCTGTCAGTTGGTTCTGGCCATGTGCAGCTCAAAGTCATAGTTTCTGTGTAATTTCATCTTTGATTTATGTCAGCAGTGTCCACGAGTCCATATCTAGACTGCAGCACCTGTGGAGGTGGTCGAGTGACGTAGTAGGTGAGGTTTCCGAAGGTGAGTGTCTGCAGGCTCCACAGAGTTGAGCCATGATGGCACTGGCCTTGAAGCTGCCACAGTCTGGGTGGTATAGAGTGTGCATAGGACATTCCCCAGGTCCCTCAGGACAAGTCCAAGGAACCCTAAGGATTGTGGCACCAGCAGACATGGTTCCCAATGCGCAGAATCTGAGGGAGACCTTCCTGAGGACTCATTGTGAGTGTGGGAGGTTCCTGAGCCCGTGGCAAAGCAGCCCAGTTCTAGAGACATAGGATGAGAGGGGGCCTTTTCTAGGTCCTGTAGGATTCTTAGGTCTTAATATTTTGAAACACAAAAGAAACATGTCCTAAGTTCTGTGGGCTAATAGTGTTGATGCTGGGGCTTGTAGTGTTAGCCACTTTTCTGAAGTTGCGGGACCCAAATGACACCCTTCACAGGGTCCGGAGGACAGCATGCAAGTGTTGCCAGGGCTTTTGACACTAGCAGCTGTGGTCCCAAGTCTGTAGGCAGTGTCTCTGGCCTTCTGAGGCATGTACAGGTAGTGTTCGGAACTGTGAAACGGTCGGGACTTTCCCCTGATTTCCAGGGATAAGGTTTTGTGATACCGAGGATTTCACATTGGCAGCTGCAGTGCAAAGGCTGTAGAGGAGAACGTCCCCACTTCCTGTGGGTCTGGTGCGGGTGGGATTCAGGCTTATGGCTGTGGCAGCTGCTGGTCTTGAAGCTCCAGAAAGTAAGAGGGGGGCTGTTTTCTGTTGGTGTCAGGAGGCTGGCTGCTGGCCCCAAAGGCAATATGGCACCTAGCAGTTTGGGCCCCTGGTGCTGGAGGAGACCAGAATAGGTTCCTTTGGAGCAGAGGTGTTGCTCTGAGATCAGCCAGCTCCCCATATTGGACCTAACGCTTGTGAAGACTGGTATCCTTTTGCAGTGAGGACTGCAGTCCCGCTGCTATGATCAGGCCTGCTGCCACTTGCCCACTTACCTTTTCCTTGCAGTGCCGTGTTCTTCACCCCAGGTCAGGAGCGGAAGGTGAAGTTGCAAATTGCTTTGTACTTTTCGCTAGGTTTCTCAGGTTGTCCTTCTGGCTCTCCATGCTATTTAGGGTTCCTGTCACTTCTGTGTTAATTTCCAGAGTTCTCTCTCACTTTCCTTGAAATACAGTTTACTTTTACATTTTAACTGTTTTCTTTTTGTGGTGCTGAGGATTGAACTCGGGGCCTCACATATGCTAGGCTGGTGCTTACCACTGGGTTATATCCCCGGTCCTTAGCAGCTTTTTTTTTTTTCGGTTCTGGGGATCAAACTCAGGACCTTGTACTTGCCAGGCAAGCGGCGGCACCACTGAGCTAAATCCCCGGCCCTCCTTAGCAGTTTTTAATAAAGGTTGTATATAAGATTACTTTGTTCCTATATCTTCTCATTTGTTTCTTCTTTATGTTTGCCCTTTTCCTTTCCTACTTGACCAAATTTGGTTTTCTGTTTAGGGATCTTTTTTTATAGCCTTTCCAGTTTTAGTTCAGTGATAGCCACCTTGCTGGGGTGATATTTGTGCCTCTGTCTTCTTCCCCCTGCACCTGCTCAATGTAGATGACATATTTCTTTTTGTGTATTCAAATGAATTTGCCAATATGCTGACCTTTATAGTGTCTCCTCATTGCCTGAACTCTGTCCTTTCCAGTCGGCATATATGGAGTGCTGTAGTTTTGCCATGGCTGTCTGGGAAGAGAAGTGACCTTGTTGCAAATGTGGGAAGGGGAATTGGAATGTTCTTTATGTTTTTTGCTTTGGCCAGAAGTCATAAAGGGATCGAACTTTGTATTGGTCACTGCTACTTCAACTGTGGCCAAAAATTGGAAGAGATCTCCTTATCTACCATTTTTTTTTATTGATACTGGTGATCAAACTTGGGACCTTGTGCTTGTGAAGCAGGCAGCAGAACCACTGAGCTAAATCCCTGAGCTGAATCTTCCTTACCTATCTTTTTTTTTTTTTTTTTT